GTGTATTTACCCAAAAAATAAACCCCCAGTGGTGAAATATTCAGAGTTTAACCTACAAAAAGAACAATAACAATAACCCTACAGCCTTAAAAGCATCCGTAGACGAATTTAAGAAGCTCCCTAACCCAATCGACTCGTTCATGGCCTTCGGTCGACAACAATTATTAAATGGGCTTTCCGTTTTTATTGGTAACCAATTGATTCTTGTTTATCGACGCATGCAGCCGTCCGTTGACTTCCGTTTGGTCCTCTCTCTGCCTGCTTATGCTTTGACTTATTCATTAGTATGCAGTATTGTTGACAAGGACTGGTGGGGTCTGCCAGCCCGGAGTCTGTCCTATTAATTATAAACAAGAGGAGTCCAAAAATACAAGATACCAGCCAGCCAGACCTGTCAATGTCCTTGGGGGTGTAAACAAATACTGCCACGCGCCAGTCATTAAATTTTACAAATCGTGGAGAGTACTTGTGCTTGAGGGTGTTTCTCGGCTTTTGAACTTTTTACAGGCAGCCGGTTTGAATAAGGGTTTTCGGATGGCGAGTGGCAAGGTTACTCGTTAGGTGTTGCAACATCCGCAGCCACACGCCCCCTGCCCCTCTTCCGGATTCAGAATTCGCAGGTTCCTTTGCCAAATTTGTATCCACGTTAATGGGAAGACAAAGTAAGTATTGTAGAATTCGCACATGTTTTGTGCGGAAATTGCCAATTAGAAGAGCGTGCGAGTTTGAGAACTTACTCAAACCAACTTATATTCTTTGTATTTTATTATTAAGTGAGGCAAAACGATCTAATGAGTGTTTATACAACTTGCTATAAATACATTTCGGTTTCAAGAAAGCTAAGGCTTACTTTAAATCTCTTTTAAATTTGTCTAAGGAGATTTAAGAAGATGGTGAAAGTGTCTGGACTTCTAATGATATTTGACATCAAAGGTATTACGTAAAAAATATTTCTAAAAAATTTATAAATAATTTTAAGCACCGTTTCATGTATTGTACTATGAGAATATACTATGTACTAAAATGCAACATCTATATTATTTCCCAAGCTAGTGCATTTGACAAACTGCAATGACATTGGCCATAAACTCACCTAATGCCATTTTGTGCATCCTAATTATTATCGAGTATACACAGGCCAATCGAGTCTGTGTGGGAACGTAGCTCCGACATAAAGTGCATAATTAAGAGGGGACATCTTCAAGGGAGCTTGTTTGCTGTGTCCAGTGGCCCGGCTGGGCTGCACATTCCCGGGCCGTCGAATGGGGATAGAAATCATCTGCTGGCTCGTCGGCTGTTGTTGACTCTTGCTTAATAAAGCAGCACTTAGTGTCTGATGGCGGCCCAAGGCAGATCCTCTTGCCCCATTCCATGTCTTCTCTGGAGTTCTGGTGGCTACTTAAACTCTTACATTTGTGTGGGTGCAGGTGTGTGTATGTGCGTGATTGGGTGTGGCTGCGAGTGTGTTGCGGCTGTGATGCAGTTATGCTCATTTCCGCCTGAGTAGTTTCCGACTTTGCTTTTGCTTACATCTACTTCTGCATGCGGGGGCACACGCACGCAAACTTGAGTATATGTTTACTTCCAGGGGCAACACAAGAGGGCAGTACGAAAAGTTTTTAGGTGAGCAAATAAGACAGTCTTTGCACCTTTGAAATACAAAATGACATACTTTTTCAGGAGCTAGTCACTCTTGTGTCGGACAGCTGAAGAGACTGAAATAGCTACATTGAATTGAATGTATTCTTAAAATATTGAATGAACTGATTTATAATATTAATCTAAACTTATCCTGGTCAGCATCCTGCCAAGGAACATCCATTGGCCTAAATGGGGTCTTCAGGTTCAGCAAACTTCTCAAATGGCCCACTTGCATATATGCAATGGCCTGTACATAAACAACAAGAGCGACAGCAAAAACAACAGCAGCAACTGGAACACACACTCTTGTCACTCATTCACTCAGTCAAACTGTCAATGCTCGTTTCAATCTTTGTATTTTGTGCTTTGCCTGCAATTGGCAGCCGGGGCAGCATTACATTTGCTTGATTGAACTTGCCCCGTGCTCTGTGCTTCGTGCTCCATGGCTTGGTGGCCACTGGCTGCTACCATGGCTTTCAGGCTACTCCTGCCCGTCCTTCACATCCTAGATGCCGTCCCCGTCTGTCCGCATGACAGTCAAAAAATACTCGGGACATAAAACTCAGACTAGACCAGAAGAGACCTCGGTCGCAGGCAGCCAAAGGCAAGTGGGGATGCTCGGTGGGATGCTTAGATACTTGCCACCGGTACCTGCTAGCACGAAGAGCGGATATCTCCCTAAAATGCATAAACACTGACCCAACAGACTCGGATCCACATTCAGTCGGCCAAGTCAGTCGGGCTCGAGTTACTGCTACCCGAGCAGTGACTCTTTCAACTTCAGTTGCAGCCTCAGTCGCTTTTTGTAACATTCTTCATGGCGCCTTCAGTTTAAAGGGCACTCTTCATCGGCAATGGCAAACTTGAATTATATATGTATATATCCTTAATATTTGTCCGTGGAGCTATCACTTAATCTGTCAGCTTGGGATGAGAATACAGCAAAATAGAAAGGCAGATAAGTAGATCAACGGAGTCGTAGCCCAGCGGAGACAAGTCCGAAATCAGGGAAGAACTCTGTGGTAGGTTGCCTCGACTATGGAATACTGGGTAATCGGGGGTAGTGCATATATTTTTATTTATAAATATTAAATAGGATTTTTCCAAAATAATAAATGTATTCTTTGCCAAAATGTTACCCCAAAATAAATATAGATATTTGAACTTAAATAAATATCTAAATGTATTATGTAAAATAATACTAATGGTGTCGCCTAGCAACCTTTGAGTGTCGCCACAGTCTAGTTGGAGTTGCATTTTTATTGCATTTATCTCGGTTGGCGGAAGGTTCGGTATTCTGGCCCAATTGACTGTGACAAGCGGCTAAAACCCCCATCCCTATGCTGCGAAAAAGAAGGAACTAACTCGGAATGGCAATGGGTAGCAATGGTTTGCAGTTGGGGAGGGAAGGGAAAAGTTCGCCCTGTTCACATTTCAGGGTCTGTCACTCGTCTGTTGTTCTTTCTAAGCATATCAATTAGGTTGCCGTTGGTTTTTGGCTTGGCTTTGGCTCTCCGACTGGAGTTAGCTCATCATTTGCATGGAAATTACCCTGGCCCACAAGCACCGCCCCTCGATCCGCTGGAAGTTCACAACTTTTTCTCAAATCACAGTATGAGAAAACAATTGTGCAACGCACAAAAACTGAAAAGGGTTCTGCGCTGCGAAAGCAGGCGAGAAAAAAAATTGTTTGAGAAAAACAAAAGTTGAACTCTTTTAAATTCATTTAAACACTTTTAGCGCTTTTCACGCCCCTCGCCAGCGAGAATCTCTAGTCCGCTAGGCGCTTTATGGACGTCCTGCCGAGGCGCGGCCAAGTTTTGTTTCGTCTTTGTTGTCCAAAAGGAGTAGGAACCGACTGGCGATGAAGAAAAAAAGTGGCAAAGTTTTCCCTCAAAGGCGCGACTGAAAATATAAGGATAATGCGGAAAGCAGTTCGAGTCTAGCTGGAAAGGGGGTTTCCATATAAACACAATTTTTCCGTCAAAGTGCCATAAATATAGAAGACATCTCTTTAACTTTCCCCCGCTTTGGTCCTTAAATTCTGGAATTCAGTGTTTGAATCGACGAGCCCACAACCACCCGCCATTGAAGCGAAAGCGGAGCGCATGCCAATTGTGCAATTGTTGGAAAATTTCTTCTTTCTTTCTTACTGCGCCTTTTCTTTTTTGTTTCTCAAAACTTGTGCGGTCTGCCTTGTCTTTCCCCTGCCAACTCTCTCTCTCCCGCGTTTCACGCTTCCTGGCAAGCCTTGAACTGAGTTTTTCATTCTCTGGTGACGCCGGGAACCGCTGTCCTGATAGGTGTTGGTCACAACGAAACTTTCGTTGGAGGAGCGCCGGCAGGATACGATGTCTGGAGAGTCGCTTTGATCGAATATTTAAAGTTAATGAACAAGATTGCCCTAAGAAATCCGAGACAAACGTGCTGCGGTGCGGCAACCACCAGGGCCCAGGAGTTGCCAAAGAGTTCAATCAATCTGACAAATTTCAATCAAGATGGGGCAAAAACCGGGCACACAAATTCCGGTCTCTAAAGCCAGATCCCCGTCCAATCCGAAATCGAGGAGGAGTCACGCCACATCACAATTAGGATTCCGTTGAAGTTTTGTCATTGAATGAAAAGCGTCTGCAACTTTTATTTAACTTGTGAGGCGGCACACAGGTGGAGCTTGGTCAACAATTGCCCACGTATCCGGGGGGCTACTGTGGGGCTTGACTTCCCACTCACGTGTGCACACATGTAGATACATTGCAGGAGGCGAATGTGTTGTCCTACAATACCCTTCCATTGGCCTTAAGTTGTTTAGCTTTGAAGCTTGTTTTGTCATAAAAAGAGTTTGTATTTTTGGGGGAATTTAATGATTTATGATGCCAACGTTATTCTTAATTAAAAAACAATTTCAAAACAGTTCCTTTACGAATTTTTTCTATTTTTAATATACACTTCATTATTGTACTATTGCAATTTATATACTGCATTGGGCAGCCTTTTTTGGTAAGAAGTTTGGTTAAATATTAGGGAATTCAATAGTTAAACTTTATTTTGAATTGTTATTTTTGTTATATTGAAAATAGTTGCTCTCGACTCCCTCTTTGGTTTTGGTTTGTCAGTTGATCAGACCTGTCCCAACACTTCTCTTAGCGCACAGTATGCGGTGATAAGACCGACGCGCTAAGCCCAGACCAGTTTTGCACTGCTCTGCTTGTCAGCTGTCAGCTCCGGCATATCAGATGGACTCACCAACTGACCCCAGATTCCAGATTCTCAGCCTAATCAGTCGACAATGGTGGGGCTCGAAACTATTTCAACGCAGTGCAGTTGCCTCCTAATCAGTAATTTAGCCTCCGTTGCACCGACAATATGTTCGAGTGGTGGCTTCTTTGTCTGTGCCTTCAGTGGCTTGTTCGTGCGGAGGCTGCTGAGCCTGCGGATCCGTTGCTGGCCCTCACTGCCAAGGACTTCCAGCTGGAGTTTCTGCGTGAGCTGACCGCCCTGGCTGAACAGCGGGCTGAGCTGAGCCTTAACAATTACCTGGCCCATTTGGAAGGCGATGAGCAATATGCCAACTATACTAGCGAGTTGGGTGCAGTCCGATCGACAGCAAAGCTCCAGCACAAGGTGACGCTCATAAAGCAGCTGTTGGACGCTAAGCCCCACCAGGAAACGGATCTAGAGCACACCACTGTGTTGCGGAACCTGGTCTTCCTAAACCGCTTGAAGGCCATGTTTAGGGCAAGCAGGGATGCCAGTACTCAGGAGATCAGACAGCTACGTTTGCATCGGCTTTGCCAGCAATTCGACCATCCGGCGGCGCCTCCTCGCAGGCCCAGCTTGATCAACGAGCAGACCGTCGGAGCAGCCGTGCAGCGATTGAACCTCACCAGAAGCGGGGACCCCTCCAACGCCCTGGATCTGAACCAGTTTGGGGCGCAGCTCTACGAGAGAGTGAAACTCTCCGGAGCCGAGATAATCGATAATTACCTACAGATTCTGCGTGGTTTGCTGCAGGATATCATTGAGGGCGAGCACGCGGATCTCGCCGAGAGCAGCAGCCGGCTAGACAACATGCTGCTCCAGTTGGATGGCATGCTGGCCACGCAGGACTTCTTCGAAAAGCGGCAGAAGGTATACGCCTACCTGGAGCGCCACCTGAGCACCGATTACGAGGAGCTGAGGGATTCGGCAGGGGCTGAGCATCATCTTACGGAGCAGCTGCTAGCCCAGCTGAAGGCCAAGGGCTTGGACCTTTTTGTAATTTTTCTGTTCAGCAACTTTGAATTCCTGGAGAAGGTGCACGAGCACTGGGCCCAGATGCTGCCGCAAGACTCCAGTCTGCTGTTGGATGAGACCTCGCGGCGTCTCTACGACCTACAGCAGCTCTACGAGATCTTTAAGCTTGACACGGAGAGTCAAGCGAAGTACGAGGCCTACACAGACGCCCTGCGCCGACTGCACGAGCTCACCGTGGAGCAAGGCCAGCGTAACCGCCACATCTTCGAGCTGCTCAGCAATGCCGCCCAGAACGTCGGCAGCGTCACCTTCAACATGATCAAGGCCAAGTGCAAGGACCTAATCTGAGAGAAATTAGTTGGATAACATTTTGCAGTTTAAAGTTTCAAAATCTGGAGATTTTGTTGATGAACTTATAAATATTATAAATATATCTACATAGAAACAGAAATCAGCATGGTATATAAACGATGATGTTCAGGTCGTAATTATATTTCGTTGTTGCTGTTGGTGGCGGAAGGTTTTAATATCCGCCCGTTGCATCGGATGTCGCTTAAATGGCGTTCAGCCTGGCCCTCAGATTTCTCCCCTCCCAAAAGCCTCGATGTTTCTTTGCTTCCTTTGTCGCATTATGCTGATGGTGCAGTGTCTGTTCCAGAGTGGCCAGGTCTCCTTGTTTATCTAATGTTACCTGGGCACCCAGGGGGGGCCCTTCTGCTCCTGCTGGGCTGCCAAACTAATACCCCTGCTGCCACATAGTTGGCCAAAATCCAGCTAATTAATCGTCGTCGTTGCAGGTGATTAGAACTTAAATGAGTTGCCGTTGCAGTCTGAGTTGCTGTGGACATTGGATCCGTTCAAAGTGAGACTAGGTAGTCAATCTTGACTTTGTTCTTGGGATCCTTTAGGCGGTCACAATTAGGATTTTAGTTTGAATAATTTTTGAGTATCTTGGGGTAAAAAATATATATTTAATACATTGATAATTTTAATCGTCACTTGAGAACACAGACACTGTTCAGAATCCCCTCAACCCTTATTTTGGAATCAACAGAAAAATAAATCGAGGGCCTGAATGTTTTCTTTCCGCCGCTTTTCCCCTCGCCGCCAAGCGTTTGCACAACATTTATCACCTTTTATGTAGGGGCGAAAATGCGATGCTCGGCCCTGTTTCCTATGGGAACAAAGGCAATAACAAGCAACTTTAACAGTAAACACAGAAACAACAATGCAGCGAAATGCAATTTCACACTAGGCTAAACTTTCCTCGTTCCTGTTCCCGTTCTTGAACCCAAACCGGGAGTCGAAGTCGGATCTGATTCGTTGTCGGAGCGAACGCTCGGTAGGGCATACAATTTAATTATGATTTATTGGTTTACCGGCCTGCTCGCATCGAGCTCGAACATTTTAAGCCAATTGGGTCCACCCCAAATTTATTGACACTTTTCGGCTGACAAAACATCTAAAAGTGCAACGCCTGCCCCTCGGCGTTCCTTATTGTTGTGCTCATAAATCTTTGATTCAAAATAAGACTGATTACGAGAATGGAAAATAAGGAAGGCCTGTCGAGGATTGAATACTCTTCTATGGGAAACGTAGTGTATAGAAAGCACAAGAACATTTTCATGATGACCAAAAAAAGTGTCACAGAATTTCACTGAAATATAAAAATAACCTTAAATTTGCAATTTAAAATATTAAATTTATTTCAAGAAATTGCATACAATTTTAATAATATTATTATTCATTCTTTGATTACCTATAAGTTTTAAGAAACGCATTTTCCAGCATCCAGTTTATTCTGATCAAAATTTCCATGCCCTCTGCAGGGCTATAAAAAGCATTCACTTTCGTCTGGGGGGTTCTATTAATACTCAAATTTGTGTTAGCGAAGGGGTAGGCTCTAAATAGTATAATCTAGTCTATATTAATCAACTTACTAATCCGTTTCTGTTTTCGTTTTCCCTTGCAGTGATCAGCGAAGATCCTGAGTTCACAGATGTCATAGAGAACATAACAGTGCCTGCTGGGCGGAATGTCAAGCTGGCTTGTTCGGTCAAAAACCTGGGCTCTTACAAGGTGAGTGAACCAAAATCTAACGAAATCTACCCTGCCATTAAAAATATTAATGGGATTTTCTTAAATAAGATTGGAATTAACATAAAATAACTTTAAAAAATTGTAAAATTTGTAAGTATGTATCTACACATATGGGTCCAACCTTCCTATCTTTCCCTCTTCGATGCCTTGCCTGCAATGTACAAGGAAGGGAACAACAGCTTTTAGCTGTTTAGCAGACAGAGAACTTCGAATTTTTCCTTGAACTATACTGCTCCTTGAAAGAAAGTATCATTCAAGCTAAGCCAATTCTTCTCCATATATTCTATTCAGTCGATTCTGAAAGTAAGTAAAGTTTTTCTGTAACGGAGTAGTGAGCGAGCTCTGAACCAAATATAACTTGTGCAAAAATTGTGCATTCCAGGGACGCTGGGAAAGAATTAAATTCGGGAGGGCCGGACTCTGATATGGGTCCTTTCCACTGGACACTGGCTTAACCGCACTGCTCAATATTCATTGTCTGCTGCATTCTTTTAGGCTGCGCTTGATATGCATAGATGTCTCTATCGCTCTCCCTCGGCCGTGCTCCGTCCCTGGTGCTCCGCCGCAGAGTCGGCAATTTAAATTTGCATCCAATTGAATTTCCATAATGTGCGTGCGACCGAAACGTGCATAAATTTCATTTTGACACGCCTTGCCGGCTCGCTCCGGCCTTTGTCGCTTCAGCCACGTTATGTGGTTGGTGCTCGTAATAATTTTTATGACCCTTAAGTTCGGCATGTTCGACCCCCGCCGGTCCCGGGCCACCCAGTCGGACGTCCTTTCATTCATCTCTGGTTTGCTCCTCATTGGCCGCAGGTAAGCTCAAAAGTTAACCGGCAACAACAACGGGAAGCGCTCGTAGCTGCAATAAAACGTGACTTTGCATGCAAAATAGTTGCGTAGCCGACGGGTGGGATTCTTGCTCTACCACGTCTGTCCTAGGACACAGACAGGTTACTTGGAATTAATTTTATAGTCCACACTGGGGTATGGCAACTTTACTATCAAAGTGGCTTTAGATCAAAAAATTAATAACAGTTCAGGTCTCAATTAAAGTTACAAAAAGAAAATATTCCAAGTCAAAGGTGACTAATAAATATTTTGTTTCAGATTTAAAATATATTTTTGGCTGCTTAAATAAACCAAAAAATCATAAGACATATATTATATATATATTATACATATATTTATTTTCTGTGGTCTTGGAACTAGCTTATCCTCGATGCTTAAAAAGTTCACTCCCCATCTGCGTCTGCACAAATATTTGAGCTGCTTGTAAAATTAACTCGCGTATTTCTCAGACGCTCCTTTTAACACGTTTACGCTTAAATTGTTAATGTTAAGCGAGCAGCTTTTCATTTTCCCCTAACCATCCCCATCCCCGTCACCGATCCCCCACACTGCCTCGTGTCCTTGTTTGCATTTCAATTTTCAACGCCTACACAAAAAGAGAGACACACGCACACTGAGGCGCACTAACAACAATGCCAGGCCAGTAACATGAGCATAAGTTTAGTTTGTTTATGTTGTTGTTTGTATTGCTTGGGCCCTCCCACAAAGCCTGGAACCCCCAATCCTCCACCCGCTACTCCATCCAGGCACCGAACAAAGCATAAACATTTTCAGGCATAATAAAGTGTGTTTATTTTTGCTTCGGCTAAAAGTTTTTTCTAGTTGTTTTCTTTTTTAGTTTTGCTTAAAATTTTATGACTTCATTTAGTATTTTATAGAGGGGGGGAGAGCGAAGGCGAGGGGCCGGAAAGAGTTGTGCCATTACGCAAATTGCAAATTGGCCATTCTGTCTGTCGGCTGCTATCGACTCGGGCCATCAGCATGTGTCTGAGACAAGTGAAGGCATCTGCCCCATGGAAATGAAGATAAATACGAATGAGATAGTGGCGCTTTCGAAGCGAGAGTCTGCGAAATACAAACACTGCATATAATAGAGTTTGTCTGGACTCTCAAGTGTGACGTCTCCGGCAATATCCGATTGAAAGGATTGTGGTTTAAGGCAGCGCTTGGGTAGCTCCCAAAATGGTCTAGAAAATATGCCATATTTAAAGAATCCGATCTCAGACTGCCTTTAAGGAAGAAGTTTTCGTGGTTAGGCTTTTAAAAAAAGAAAGAAGGTCATCACTGCATCATGTGGAGTTGAGATCAAAGAAATTTTAAATTAAATTAAATTTTAGATACTCGAAGAACAGAATCTATAACATCGTTAGGCTTCAATAACTACTTATAAACCTAAAGCCTTGTCATACTGACTTCTTTCTGAGTACAGAAATTTGAAGCCATCAGAGAATTTCAGATAGAAATCCTTTTTTCTTTCGAAAAAGTCACACAATTGTGCGGCATTTGTTACGGTCTATGTAACTCAAATTAGCCAGAGTTCAGAATTGTGACAGTTCCAGCAGTACCTTAGCCATTTCGTTGCCATAACTGCACTTAAATATGCGGAAAATTTTAATGGCATCAGCTGCTGGTGCCGGGAAAGCCTATTAAAAGTCACACCGTCACATGGCCACCCAAGAGTCAAGTTTGCCTTGACTTTTGCCGGCCTTTTCTCGCCTAGCTGGAAATAATTTGGCCGAAAGCCGCACACTCTCGTATAGACAGAGCACCAGAGGAGCCTGATGCTGGCCCTATATGGCGTCTAATTAATTTCAATGAAATAAGCCCAGAAAACGAATCGAAATTGCAAATGCAAAAGAGGAGAGTTTAAGCCAAAATGTTAGTGCCAAGGGCTTTAATCCGTTGGGAAGTGCACTTTTATTGATTTTTAGCCCCTCCCCCACCTTCGCTCCTCTCTCTCTCTCTCTGATAAACGTGTTTGCATTAATTCTTCGATTCGCTGCTGCCACTTTGCTGCCTCCCCGAACTAGCATTTAGACGACTGACTTTTAATATGCCAAAGGAGTCAACGGCGCCCAAATATAAAATAAGCAAACTGATGGCGACTTTGTCTCCGATCTCCGCGTCTATCCCGGTGTACGTTTTCAATGCAGACATTGAAAAATTAACCGATATCAGTCCACGTTGGCCGACAGCATCCTCCTCCGGTGGCGCCTCCGAAGGATGCTGATAGTGCAGCTCAGCTCCCTGACGTGGCCCGTAGACTTTGCTATTGAGCCCAGCGCCGCCATTACATTTACTGCCAGCGCGTAGGAATTTATCATTGAAATGGCATCGACACAACACATCCTACATTCCGGCTCCTCCTTTGTGCCTCGCATTTAGCACGTCTCAGTCGATGTGTTGGGTGCTTAAATTTGCATAAATTGTTTGTTGTTTACCCCCGGAAAAAGAAAGGACGAAAACGAAAAACTAGTCGTGCTGCATAAGCTGGGCCAGGAAGTGTTTGACCCATGACGCAC